AAAAAAACTGAAAACCCAACTTCATCTAGCTCAGAGTACATCAAACCTTAACAATCACAAATATCATCAAAATTTTCCAATTTCACCTCAACTACATGACCAAAGACTGCAATAGAGAACATAAATTGAAAACCCAGAAAACAATAAATCCAAAAAAAAAAAAAAAAGAATACCTGAGAGATTAACCAAGCGCGCTCCATGCGATTGGCGAAATTGGAGCTCCCATAAGACTTCACCATTGAAGCCCTAAACCCAAACCTCGCTTGCCTCCTCAACTCCACCTTTCTCGGCCACACGACAAACTTCACCGGATTTAGGCTCGTGAGCCCACGACAAAAACAACAGTTGCTCGACATTTTTCTAGGAAAAAAAAAAAAAAAAAAATCGATCTTTTTTTTTTAGAAATTTTCAATGGGGAAAAATGGGGAAATTTCAGCAGCCGTCGCCTTGTTGAGCGCGTAATTTTTCTGGGCAATTTTGATATTCTGAAAAAGACAAATTCTTGCTGCTCAAAAAAACGTGATAATATATCTCATCCATCAATGGGCCAAAAATGAGAGAATGGAGCCTGGGTATATAGCAATTGAATAAAGCCCAATTGACAAATTTTTATTTTTTTACATAATAGAATAAATTTTTAATACTTTTTTTTATCTAGTCAAGATTAATATATTAAATACAAACTAGTAATTCTATTTCACCTTTTTTTTCTACAATTCTCTCCGGCACAATTAAAAAAAAATAAAATAATGATTGTTATACATTAACCACAAAAACCATTATTTTGGGTCTAGATGATAGTCTCGAATCAGTTTAGGATTCCATGTGTAAGACATGTGGTGGTTCATCAGCTCAACCGAAGTGTATATGGTTTGGTCGTCACTCACATATTTTTAGCTCAATCTTACCAATTAATATTTTTTTATATCATGTCAACTTTTAGTTATATTATTAATCAAATATTTGATACGTATTTAAAAAGTGCACAATTTTCTAAATACAAAATTAATTTTTTCACTTGTGTTATTTGACGATTTTATATTATGATAAGTTTTCTAATTTTGTAATGAAATTATAGATGACTTTTTGAATTGATATATAATTTTATTCATTTTTAATTAGTATTAGTAGATTATTTAATTCTATATAAAAAGACATACTTATTTATTTATTTTATATATGCAATATGGATATTAAACCAAATCCATGAAAAAATGATCAATTTAATATTTTATATACGAAAATATGATAGCAATAAAAAAGTTACCAACTTTCAAAAAAATTATAATCTAATTAAGTTAAATGTTTTTTTGAATTTAGTAATAGGTATTGATAGAATTCAAATCTACATGTCTACTCTGAATCACGCCACACCAATATATTATACTCTAGCAAAAAACTAATGACAAGAATCTAAAATTATAGAAGTCGTTTTAAATTGTTTTTACAAATTTAGATTATTTATATTTAAAATAACACTTACCACTTTATAATAATGTATAACTTTTTGAAGACATGTTATATACAAATCTAACAGATATATTTATTTAATTGACAAATAATCTGATTATTGTCAATTAATATTGATATTTATAATTTAGTTTTTATTATAACATATATATTTACATAATATAAATTCAAATCGAAACTCGTGATGAGAAGATTAATTTCATTTATCATATATGAAATTATGATAACGAATATGAAAACTATTATAAAATATATTTTTAATTAAAGTTAGTCGAACATTTATAATTTTAAAAGTTGTAGAAGCCTACTTGTAATACACTACTATTCAATACTAGGGCTGCAAACGAGCCGAGCCGAGTGGAGCATTGGCCTTATCGAGCAGGATTGAGTTTTTTTTTGCTGCTCGAGCTCGACTTGATAAAAAAATACAATAGCTCGAATTCGACTCGAGCTCCACTCGAAATCAAAATGTTCGAGTTCGACTCGAAAATTTTTAAGTGGAAAGGTAAAATTACCATTAAGCACCAGTGCTAATATATATAATAAGGGATATTTTAGTAATTTAACGTGTATCTCGGGCCGATCGACAAGACAAAATATAGGTTTGAGCTCAACTCGAGTTCGTGCTCGAGTCGCTAGAGCTCGACTCGAGTTCGGTCATACTTGAGCTCAAGTTGAGCTTTGACTCGAGCATTTGCTAGCCGCTCGATTCGTTTGCAGCCCTACTCAACACCAAACACAACGAATTACGAATCACCACGATCGAATAATATCAAAAATCCAAACGTTGGATTAGGAAATTTTGCATTAATATATAAACTAGTATTCGACCTGTGCATTTGCACAAATGTAAATAAAGTATTGTGAGTTATTTGTATGCATATAATGATTAAATATTTTTCTTTCACCTTTTTGCTGGCCAAATTTACAATTAAAGGAGTTGAAATATCTATTTTTTGTTTTTAAATTGTGTTTATCTAATTGGATGTAATGTATATTTTGGTACATCTTTTTTTTGTGAATTA